GATTTTATTTATCATTTTATTTTATGTGTAGGAGTGTATTGCCTGCATGTATGTGAGTGCACCCGTGTCGTGCAATGCCGCGGAGATCAGAAGAGGGCTTCGATTCCCCTGGAACTGGAGTTAAGGATGGTTCATAGACGCCATGTGGGTGCTGGGAATTGAACCCGGGTCCTCTGCAAGAGCAGTCAGTGCTCTTAACCACTGAGCCATCTCTCCAACCCTGATTTGAAGCTTTTTAATATGATTCATAGACCATTAGGAATCAAAAGGAATTTTAGAGAAGATGAACTATTTTCCTGATTTGTATGTTTTTTTGGTTTTTTTTTCACAGACACTCACTACGTAGCCCGAGCTGGCCTCAAACTCAGTCTTCCTGCTGCATCCTCCTAAGTATCAGGATTACAGGTGTGAAACACCATGTCAGGTTTTGTTTTTAAGTACTAGTTGCTTCTGGTGGGGGCATAGAATTTTGCTCTGTAGCACATGTTGGCCTTGAACTCTCAGTCATCCTGCCTCAGTCTCCTGAGTGCTAGGATCACAGGCTTATGTCATACACCTGTCTTGTATAAGTTGAACTCATCTTTATGAGTTCAATCTCTCTGTTAAGAGACCCTTTAATGGTCTGCTATTCCATTTTCTATGTAAAAATAGGCTAAGAGAAATAAGGTGGCTTTGCCTAAGGATCTCAAATTGGGAAATTGCAGAGCCAAAATTCAATATGAAATTGATATGGACAGTGTGTGCTCTTTCACTGTCATACTGCCTATCACTAAAAAACAGAGAGGATGAGAAATGAGGTGGATAAACTAGTTAGTTGCAGGTTGTGAAGGAGCTTGTTTACCTTGGTGAAATGTTTGAATCACATTTTTCCCTGAACTACTTTGGATTGAGGTGTGTGTGCTAAGTCTGAATCCCTCGAAAAATTATGTATTGAGGGGCTGGAGAGATGACTCAGCAGTTAAGGGCACTGGCTCTTCTTGCAGAAGACCTGGGTTTGAATCCCAGCACCCACATGGCGGCTAACAACCATCCATAACTCCAGTTCCAGGGGAATCTGATGCCCTCTTCTGTCCTCTGTCAGCATTGCATGGCATGGGTGCACTTACATACATGCAGGCAGAACATGTATACACATAAAATAGATAATAAATAAAATTTTTTAAAATTGTGTATTGAAATCTCTTATAAGGGGGATTAAGAGGTGAGACCTTTGGGGCGTGATTAAGTTATGAGAGCTTCACCCTCAAGAATGGATTGGTGCCTTATGAAAAGTCTTGAGGCAGCTAGTTTACACTTTTATTTGTTGGCATCTTTGAAGGAGAGAGAGCAGCCTTCTTTCACCAGACACCAGTCCTACCATCTCCCTGATTTTGGATTTCCCAGTCTCCAAAACTGTAAGAAAGAAATTTTTATGGCCAGCCTTGGCTAGAGAATGATACCCTGTCTCCAATAAAGAAATCATCAGTTGGGTGTGGGGGCACATGATTTTAATCCCAGCACTCGGGAAGCAGAGGTAGGCAGATCTCTGTGAGTTCAAGGCCAGCGTGATCTACATAGTGAGTTCCAGGCCAGCTGGGGCTATTGGAAGACCACCAGAGAGTGCTGGGTTCTGGCCTCCCTCTGGCCTCCAACTACCAGAAGGCCTGAGAACCCAGGGGATAGCCTGACAGCCCCCAATCCTGCCTCCACGTAGTGGTCCTTTTAAAAAGATGATGATATACAGCAGTCCCTTCTGCATGAAATAACTACCATCATCACAACTTCGGCTGAGCCTGATCGCTAAACATAGTCACAATTGGGCTTGTTGATGGTTGTGCTCATTCATTAAAGGAGTGCCAAGCAGGGTCACTGGACCCTCACCTGAATATCCAGCCACTCTTCCCAGCCACTCTTCCCAGCCAACTAGTCCAGCCTTGGAAGACAAAAGAAAAATGAGGAGGAACCCAATAGAGGGATGCTTTTGGAAGCCCTTGTCAAGAAACTCCAATGGACTCTCATATGAACATTTGAAAATTACCCTGTTCTGACTTTTTTCTAGTTCCCTGTCTAGAACTTGTAATGCTAATTACTCTTGCCTTTACTTCTTCACGTCTCCCATTCATGATTCAAGGACTTTCTTCTCCCCTTAGAGACAAAAGTTATGCAATTTGAGAGTCTTTTAGATAGACCCACTGAAGGGGTACTCCAATTGCCTCACAGTGCAATTGTCCCTGTTCAGCATGGAAGAACCAGAGTGGTCGGCGTCCCTATTCTCTATTGGCAATTTGGGTAACCTCTTCAGAGGATGGTGTGATAAGAATAGG